CCCTTGTTTGATTCGTCTCTACTAATTAATATTATTAATAATAGTATTACTTCTCTATTGATTTCAACTTTTCATCACAGTTACAGATGTTTGATGTTGATTTTTCATTTGAAACTTGAAATCCCTTTTTAATTATCATCAAAACGTATGATGTTTTTTGTTCAGTTCAAACGTTATATTTTATTTTTTATTAATCGAAATATGTTTTCAGTTGTCAACATTCCTAGAACCAAGGACACTCTACTCAGCTATATCTCAGTATGTCCTCTCACACAAACTATCGACACGAAAATGTTGCAACAACTGCTGCCAGCCTCCCTCGGAAGGGGCGGGGGGAGCGACCCTTTGGGGCACCTCCTTCCAAGCACAGACTGCGACTGGGAGCAAGAACTGCTCTCCGTCGCAAATTGTCCGACGAAACTCGGCACGATATCGACCGCCCTTGATCATGGACCATCGACTCTGAACACCCCAATTATTGAGATTAATCAAGATATCATGTTCTCAAATGCGCCCAAAAAAGAAACTATTATGGCCGAACTTAGCGTCGACTTGGCTCCGCCATCATCCGGCATTTTCGACGATCTCTGGACTATCCCGGGAACACCTGAAGCACAAGAACTTCTCCATGCTCCTCTTACTCATGTGGAAGGAAAGTCTGAACCAAATACAGAATTCACCGAACATTCTACTATTTCCAACAGCTACGATTATGTTATCGAGAGTGACGATGATAATAGCATGATTGTCGAGGCTAAAGAGGAAGTCCCAGACGTCTTGCAGTGGATCGTCGACGATACAATAAATCAGAATTCAGAAATCCCAGGAGAGGAATTTCACACTCCGGCCACCGTCGTTCTGGAGCCGCCGTATTCTGAGTACTTGCCGTCCACTTCTGTTGGAACAGATCCTGTTAGTCCAGTCTTGAAGCCTACTCCTTTTAGCAGGTGCTTACTTTTTATTTGTCAAACTGATATTCATGGGCTAATCATGTTTTATTTAATCTTTACTACATTATGCTTAAATGCAATTTTTTCTAAATTTATCTATTAGTTAAATGCAGTATTTGCGCACCCTCATTGTTAACTTTGTTTTCTTAATGAAAGCTTTAAAAAATTTAGTATATAAACCGATTTTTATCATACTAGTTCTCAAGAAAGTTAATAACAAACATTTAATTAAGGGGCGCATATTTTCCTTTTTGTCTCTTTCCCTTTACAGCAGCAGCTATAGAATTTGTTTTTCACATTTTGCTTTAACATTTGTTTAATCTAGACTTGAAACTGTTAGAGCCCCTGGTGCCAGCATGAGCACAAGAGGAGGAGAAGGAGGCGGACCTGTTCGTCAGAAAAGAGGGCGTGGCCGTCCTCCAGTTCCCATGGGACGACAGATCACTCCGAAAGTCGCGAAACCTCGTATAACAAGCGGTGATGAAAGTGATCATGTGTATTCCGCCACCGAGGGTAATCTGACCGACGCGGAAGTGTCCGACATGAGGTATCGCCGAATGCGCGATTTAAACAACGAAGCCTCGAAACGTTGCCGTGAAAATCGAAAACTCAAGAACGAACTTCTAGAGGCTGAATTCGAGATCCAGCGTGATCGCAATGTTGAGCTTCGCGCGCGTCTCACGCGATTGGAGAATCGAGTGCGACAGATTAAGACCCTGTACCTTCAGCACATTGCTTCCGGCCAGAACGCAGATTTGCCGGATATAACCCAGCCATGGACGCCGAAGGATTTTTAGCATAAACGTCGGGACGATTTGATAGAAGATTATCTATTTGAGCATCGGTCAAATACTAGTGCAAGGAAAATAGAAGAGTACCCTGGAGAAGAACAAAAACTGGTTTTCTACCCTACTCAGCCTGGAAAAGTGATCAGAACAAATATGCCTTGTGAGAAGGAGAACTTATTTGTGAAAACACTGAAGAAGGGTGATGTGAACTATTTTTGTCCATTCTTAAAACTTTTTTCGTGCATGATTTGTACCATATATATTCTTACTATTTAGCATAAGATTTTGAAGAATTCCGCTTAAGGAATTTTTTCTCCTGCACTTCTTGCAGTGAATTCTCCATCATGTAATCTTAAGATAAAAGAGTGTAAAACCAACTAAAAAATACAAAACTTAAAATAACCTAAAAAGTTATACTGTTACTATTCTATACTTTCCCAAATTTGCCATTTTATGCACTCAGTTCGGATCCGATTAAAAAGAATGTTACAATTTTGATGTGATGAAAATTTATAATAGAAAAATAAATAAATTGGCATTATAATCCTGCATTTATTTGACAAATTCGTACGCGGATAATTGCATATCTGACTCACAATTGGTGCCCTTGTCGGAGCGTTCCGACCAGAAAACTGATAATTTTGAATTGTGTGCGACATCGGAAATTTATCTTATAAGCGAAAAAAGATATTTTTTTTCTGACAAATATGAATAGGTTAACGAATAAGTTTACGTTCCTCGGGGGAGGGGGGGGGGGCAATTCATATATACTCTGTTTGTTTCTATCCAATGAACGGCTGAACCAATCTGACCCAAATTTTTCTCATGACCGGAAAGTAAAATGGATTCAAAGTTGGAAGATAGAAATTTCGACAGTTTTAGTTCGAAAACTGGCAGCTCACACAGCAACCGTATAGCTAAAATTCCTATTGGCAAGAATGCGGAATATTTTGAGATGTACCAAGAAGTTCATAGCAGTTTTTTAACTTTCTAAAGGTTTCCATTTGCTTTCCTTACACAAAGCCAAATCTTAGAATTGTAAAGGAAGTAGCATGCCTTATCGTGTTTTTTTTTGTAGAACTTTGCCGTATTTCAACAATAGCCTTTTTTACAGTGTTTAAATAATGGAACATTTTTACAAAATGTGAACTCTTTAACATTTCTATCATTAAAACTTATAATTCCGACATGTCTGAACTTAGTCCGGCTTTTAAATTTTTTATTTGAATCAAACTGCGAACGAAGGGTATTAATTTTTAGAAAATTTCCCCCTAAAAAATTATTACTAATATCAGTGTTTTTGTTGAATTACGGAAAAAAATGATTTTTGATTAAAAGTGGGAGAAAAAACTTGATGGTAATGTAAAATTTTAATGTGATGTACACATTTTTCGAACATACTTCACTCTTGCCCCCCACCCCCCTAACAAAATGTCTAGTTGCGCTCCTGGATCTGCTACATTTTAAGGTTCAATATTTTTATTAGCTGCAAGTTTGCAATTTTGCAATAAAATAGACCCAAAGATATCTTTCCAAACAGCTCATGTCAAGCTTAGAATTCATGCAAGTACGTCGTACAGGATATAGAAGTGAAAAAAATGATAATTTAAAATCTACTGAATGCGTTCCCTCCTTTCATTTATTTTTCCCATACTTCAATTTCAAGTTTTTAATTAATTAAGAAAAATAATCCAGAAAAATATATACCCCCATAGCTCTATGTTCACCCTCAATTAAGCTTTTGAAGAGAAATTTGCAGTACACTGATCGAAGAGAATGCAGAGTTTAGTGGACAGTTTGTAGATCCTGTGAGTCCTGTCTAACGAAGGGAAAAATGGATTATGCAAGACGACATACAGAACATGAAGTATCTTAAATTGAACTAAGGGAATTTAATGTTTTTTTGGAAATATTCGTTTTGGGGACATTTCTGTATTACCCTGTTTCAAAATTTCAATGGAAAATCACAAATCACACATTTTCACCCTTTTTTGATAAAGGAAATAGATGAAAGCGTTTAAAAAAGTATTCTTTTCATAACTACGTGATTTTCAGCATGTTCTGTTATTTTTAAAGCTAAAAGTTTAATAAACTTTCGTTTATTTTCATATTTCTTTTGTAAATTTATAAATGTTCATACATACACAATTAACATATGCATCTAAACATTATAAAAGATTATCAACTTTTAAATCACAATAATTAAAAATAAACAAGTAAAAGTATAAACTATGATAACGATTATTAAAATTTTTATCAAAAAAAACTTTATAATTAGTGAATACTGAAATTGTATGATGTTTTTATAATTTCATAAAAAAATATACTAATGTGTAGAAGCCATAAAATACATATCATAAATTGTATACATAATACAAAATGTAGAGAAAAGTAAAACTGGATGTAAATTAATGAAAAATAATGGTCTCGTGATTTCAATTTTGTTCAGTTTTTAAGAGACGTTTAAGATGTTGTATCATGTTTCCCTCCAATTAAACAATGTCCGATCTACAACGTTACAATTTTCTGGCAATAAATGTGGAAGTGATCATGGGGCCGTTTTGCTTACTTCTGATACTTTTAACATTGTTTCTTCAGCAGAAATCCGCAGTTTGCTTGCTTTGTAGAGAGACAATACGTTTAAAAATAATTAATTTTTAAATTTATAAAAATCTCATATATCTCATACAAGGTGTCACACGAAACATAACAGTTGGTAAATAGTTTAGAATGTCTTCTTCCATAATTTGTTAAGTTGTTTAATACCAAAGACAATAAAAAAATATTATATAGGAGTCATATGATAGTGTAAAATCAATTTCAAAGTAAAATACATTTCAGCAAAAGATTTCTTACCTACAAACAGCCTTTAACATCTAGGACAGTGTATGGAAGACGACATTCAAAACTATTTACCCTGTATCATACTGTTTTTCAACAGACATGTTACTTTATAAACAGAGGGTCACTTGAAATTACTACACAGTCCCTTTAAATAACCCTTTCTGTTGATTTCCTTAATCTGGTCTTTCAAAAAGTGTTCCATAAGCCACCGCTAGATGACTCTCTATTCCTTTTTTTTGAGTTTTCCATCAGAAACGAGACCATCGAACAGTTCAAGAGCATTCAATATCGCCTGGTCCATATTGAAATATTTATAGCTGGCTAAGCGTCCTAAAAATAGTAAACACATTAAGTAGCAGCAAAACAACAGTAATTACTTACTGCTAATATCAGGAAAAAAATATTTAGTAATTTGTAATTCCGAATTCGGTACATTTCTAAAAATCATTAAAAACAATTCTTGAAAATCCTTTAACAGATGATTCGCTGGTTATTAAAATAATTATAATTACAGTGTTGAGTTGCAATCTAAAAATTGCATCGAATAATTTTCAAATTCTCTAAAATGATGCTTAAGAGAAATTATACAGAACATGAAACATGAAAATTGGACATAATGATCCAAAAATTAATGAAAATAAATAAACTTCAGGCTTATTAAAGATTTTTAAAATTTTACAAACCTACAAATGTGACGCCTGGCTCGTCTTTAGCTAGCGTTTGATATTTTGCATACAATTCTTGGTTCCTAAAGAAGTGATAATAATAATAATAATGATAATAATAATAATAATTATATAAATATATCAAATCCTATTTCGTGTTTTTTAACTAAGAAGCTTTAACATTTTACAAAAAAAACCGGTTTCGTGTCAATAATTAAACTAATACTTAAACTTTTTGTTTCCCTCTCTTAAACAGCAAATAAAAATAACAAATTTATAAAAGTTATTCTTAAGATAAGTTAGGCATCAATATTGACGAATTTGTTGATTTTTTGAATTTGCACATTTTTTCCCAAACAATAAATCTTTTTGGCAATATCCAGTAATTTTCTAAACCTAGTTTTATGTCAAAGTCAAAGAATTGAAGACTTGAAATCATTTTTAAAGACCCAAAACAAAATGATGTTAATTTAAGACAAATCAGGATGAGAACGTTGTATAGACTCAATTAACAACTGAAGAAATATTTGATTTTCTTTTGGATTTGTATTCCCGGATTAACTTGTTTCAACTCTCCCGGATGTTCAGTTTTACATTTTAAATTAAAGGTTCCTTATATATATATATAGCGGGTTCCATGAAACTGTAAATATGAATACTACTTATTTATGTAAAGTTAGACTAAAGTAAAGATCTTTAATAGTCCAAAACATAAAATACAGCAATAGTGCAGTGTACACTGTACAATTAGACACAGTTCACATAATAAGTTGATTTTATAAGCTACTGGTAAAACTGCATGCTCTGTAACAACATCAAATATTGATAAATTTGATCAAATGTCGTCTTCTTATTCCACAGTTTTATCATTCTTGCAATACCTTGTATATAACAGTTCCGGGTAAATCTTTGGTTCCTTTCGGTTGATTAGGTGAGTGTTTGTATTCAGATATACGGGTCCAACCTTCAAAATTAAATCAATATCTTCATTGTTCGTAAAAAAGCATAAACATTTCACTTTCACTTTTTCTTTATAACTTGTTTAAGGGGTGGATTCCAATTACAGTCAGAACCAGATTAAGGAATTTGCAATAATAACAGCAATTCTACATCTTTATATAATTGATTAAAGCAAATATTTCAGAACATTAGATACTGAGCAAGGAAATATTTTGGTCAATCTAACTTTAAAATTTGATTTATTAGTTTAAGGGGGAACGGTTTAGATTAAAATTTTCAACAATTGAATTTTGACCAAATAAAAAAAGAAATAATAAAAATAAAAATATTAAAAAATTAAAGACAATGAATTAAAAAAACAACATTTAATAAGAGTCGTTCAATTTCATCTGAAAAAAACTAAATCAACAAAAAAAATTTTACCTACGGACATGTCTGGATGGTTTACTACCCAGGCGTCTTGGTAAAATCCAGATTTGGGTTCAATATATTCAGTTTCCCAGAAAATAGATCTTAACAAAAAACGGATATATAGTCCCTTTAATCCAGATTTAGGTTCTATATACTCCGTCTCCCAGAATATAGTCTTTAACAAAATACGGATATAGTCCCTTTAATAAAATAAGGATATAGTTCTTTTAACAAAATACGGATAAAGTCCCTTTAATAAAATACGGATACAGTCCCTTTAACAAAATACGGATGCAGTGCCTTTAACAAAATACGGATACAGTCTCTTTAACAAAATACGAATACAGTTCCTTTAACAAAATACGGATACAGTTCTTTTAACAAAATACGGATACAGTTTCTTTATATACGGATACAGTCCCTTTAACAAAATACAGATATAGTGCCTTTAACAAAATACGGATATAGTTCCTTTAACAAAATACGGATATAGTTTCTTTAACAAAATACGGATACAGTTCCTTTAACAAAATACGGATACAGTTCCTTTAATAATATTACGGATACAGTTCCTTTAACAAAATACAGATATAGTGCCTTAAAAAAAATACGGATACAGTCCCTTTAACAAAATACGGATACAGTCCCTTTAACAAAATACAGATACAGTCCCTGTAACAAAAACGAATATAGTCCCAATTTAACCAGATACGGATACAGTTCCTTTAACAAAATACGGATACAGTCCATTTAACAAAATACAGATACAGTCCCTTTAACAAAAATGGATATAGTCCCAATTTAACAAAATACGGATACATGTACCTTTAACAAAAAAAAATATCTAGTTTTCTAATTTATATATCATGACAACCTTTAATATTTCAAACTTGCAGTGGTCAGCGTTTACATCATTACTATAAAGACGACTTTTCTATTCTTTTTTCATTTCTAGGAAGCTTACTTTCAAAAAACAAGTTTACAAGTAAACAAAGAGATAATTGACAGCTTCTCTTAGTTTGTATGCTTATGTGTATGATGTTTGAAAATAAAAATTTAAATCGAAAGTCGTCTTCATTGTGATGACGTCTATAGCAAGAATTATTATTAGAACTATCAAATAAACTGTACACCGTGAGGTTTCCCAGATGGATTTTTAGGATTAAAAACTCTGAAGGAAGAAGTCCAAAATAATTCGCCAAATTCTTGTATTTTAATAGTTTAGATCGTTATTGAAATTTCATCTATTATGGTCACAATTTATAAAAAATGCAAAATAAAAAGCTGAAAAAATTTAGTGATTTAATTCTTACCTATATTCTAGTTTGTCTAGTCCTTTGCTAGCATAAAAAGCATCAATGGGTCCAGTAAATACTAAAAAATTGAAAATTGAAATAAATTTTTTACTTTCAACAAAATAAGATAATATTTGCATTTGCCGAAAGTGAGCAAAGTATAAAAAAGTTGAAGAAATTTTCACAGAAGTATTTAGAGAGATAAACAAAAAATATAATTATATATAATCCGAAGTTTTTAAAGGCATGTTTTTTTAAGTGAACCTTTATTTAGGATGGCATGCCAGGTTTATTAATGGTTCCAAGGATAAAGATATATCCATGTTTTTCGAAATAAACATTTATTCTTTCAATTGAAGTTTTTCTTTTCAAATTGCCCCCCCGCCCCTGTCAGATTGGGTTAAGATAGTTAAACGACGATATTTTCCTAATTATTGCTCCGATAAAGGTTTAAAGGGTGAATCGAACATGCCACTCTGTAAACGGCGGGCACTATAAAATTCTAAACATTTGATAAATTACATCTTACCTAGGAGTTCATGTTTAGGAAGGAAATCCTTCACGTCAAAGTAATCAACATTAACACGCACTGTATACGTGAACACAAATTAAAAAAATTTAACATCAATTGTAAAAACTAATTTATTAATTTGAGTTCAATGACGGATAATGGAGAAGGTGCTATTGGGGGATATCCACCCCCTGGAATATTGAGGGGAAGTATTGTATAATTGGGGCGCAACCAGGAGGGGTATTTTCTAGCTCTTTTAATTGAACAACTATCTTGCACTTCGAAGGGATTTGGGTAAAAATAAAATATAACATATTATTTGAAGAAAAAATGAAGAATCATATGTACAGTGCATGTGTAATTAAGTGCACTGCACTGTACTGCAAAAATATGTATTTAGTTTCCTGTTATATCCGGGTTGTTTAAAATCATATTCTCAAACATTTTTGTGTATCCATCTAAATATATAATTTTACTATTTTAAACTATTTCAATTACACCCTTTTTTATTTGAAATGCACATTTTTTTAAAATATACATGGCAATATAAAGAGGATTGACCAATTAAGTAATATGTTAATTAAGCATTGATTCAGTTCTTCATTTTGAATTCCAGCTGCTTTAGAAGAAATTTTTACCTAAAAATGAAAATAAAAAGCATAAAAATAATAATGATGATTAAAATAATTGGTCTTCTTTATGTCATGTTTCACTTCGGTAAAAAGTAAAATTAAAAAAAGGCGCCCTCTTTAAAAATAATATACAATTTGGACGTTTTATAGATAAACTGAGATTGATCGGTCTTAGAAAAGTAAAATTTAATCAATTTCAGTAAACAGATCTGAAATAACTAAACTTGTTTTTTGGCTTGTTTAGATTCATTGAAAGTGTTTTTACAGGTTTTTGATAATTAGATAAAATTATTTTCCTTTTGGTAGAGCTTGAAAAAGATCATCGAAATATCGGTCATCTTTAGTGGTCCTAAACATGGAATATTAAAGGGACTGTGACTAGTGTCCTAAACATGAAATATTAAAGGGACTGGGTTTAGTGTCCTAAACATGAAATATTAAAGGGACTGCAGTCTATTGTCCTAAACATGAAATATTAAAGGGACTGTGTTTAGCTGTCTTAAACATGAAATATTAAAGGTACTGTGTCTAGTGTCCTAAATGTGAAATATTGAAGGGACTCTGTCTAGTGTCCTAAACATGAAATATTAAAGGGACTGTGTCTAGTGTCCTAAACGTGAAATATTAAAGGGACTGTGCCTAGTGTCCTAAACATGAAATATTAAAGGGACTGGGTCTAGTGTCCTAAACATGAAATATTAAAGGGACTGTGTCTTGTCCTAAACATGAAATATTAAAGGGACTGGGTTTAGTGTCCTAAACATGAAATATTAAAGGGACTGTGCCTAAAACATGAAATATTAAAGGGACTGGGTCTAGTGTCCTAAACATGAAATATTAAAGGGACTGTGTCTTGTCCTAAACATGAAATATTAAAGGGACTCTGTCTAGTGTCCTAAACATGAAATATTAAAGGGACTGTGTTTAGTGTCCTAAACATGAAATATTGAAGGGCCTGTGTTTAGTGTCCTAAACATGAAATATTAAAGGGATTGTGTCTAGTGTCCTAAACATGAAATATTAAAGGGACTGTGTCATGTCCTAAACATGAAATATTAAAGGGACTCTGTCTAGTGTCCTAAACATGAAATATTAAAGGGACTGTGTTTGGTGTCCTAAACATGAAATATTAAAGGGACTGTGTCTAGTGTCCTTAACGTGAAATATTAAAGGGACTCTGTCTAGTGTCCTAAACATGAAATATTAAAGGGACTGTGTCTTGTCCTAAACATGAAATTTAAAAGAGACGCGTCTAGCTATCCTTAGCAAGAAAAATTATAACTGTTCGACCGGAAGTTTATAAAACAAGATTACCGGAAACAATCCAACCGGAAATGAGTAAACTAACCTGACCGGAAGTCTGGCTAGCACTGACGCATCCAGCTCTTTGGGCCATTTATCCCACTGTTTCTTTGTGTATGGTTTAAATATTTTCTCATAGAGATCCTGTCCGACCCTGGATATTGACATTTCTTCCCCGTCAGCTGGAGGGGCAGACAACTAGGCAATTAATCAATCAATCAATCAATCATCAATCAAACAATATATCATTCCCAATCATGGAAATAGACATGTCTTCAGCTGGAGGGTTAGATAACTAGACAATCAATCAATCAATCAGTCAGTCATTTAATAAATCAATAAATCAATAAATCCTTCCCAACCCAGGAGATAGGCATCTCTACCATAAGATAACCAGACAATCAGTCAATCAATCAATTAACCAAACAATCAATCAATTAGTAAATTAATTAATTAATCAATCAATTAAACATCCCCAACCCCTAGAGATATAAATTTTTCAACGTCAGCTGGAGGTGTAGTCAATTAGACAAATCAATCATTCAATTAATAACTTAATCAATAAATAGATAAATAGATAAATAGATTTTTCAATCAATTTAACAAATTTATCCAGACAACTTTACAATCAAGCAAGCAATAAAAAACACTATATATTATAATATATATTATCTTTATTATCTATTATAAATCTTTAACTATGTATCTATTTATTAATCTATCTAATAATTAACCTATCTATCTATTTATCCATCTATCTTTCTATTTATCCATCTATCAATGTACCTTAGGTCTTCTTTGATCCAACCAGTCCTTCATATCCTGTTCAGTCTCAAGGTTGGTGTTGAACAGGATGTTCACGGTGTCCAGGTTAGGAGGAATAGGGACCACCCTGGTAGTACCATTCTCATCCTATAATATTATTAATATTAATATAATAATCATAATAAGAATAATAATATCGATATTTATGAAAATAATAAAAAAAGAAATGGGTATTAAAATAATGCTTTTTCTGATCATGAATACCTTGACCTCCCCGAGGACCCTGTGTTGGTAGGGCACCCAGGAGGAGAACTTGGTCACGTACTCCTCTACCCTGGGATACTTGGTGTGGAATATATGCACTCCATACAACGAGATCCTGATCAAATATGGCGTCATACTTAAAGGGACTGTAAGCGTAATTTGTAGTGACCCTGTCTGCAAAACTGGATATGCCTGATTTACCACAGTACCCTTGAACTGACAGTGCATGATTTACCACGGTATCCTTAGACTGGCAGTGCATGATTTACCACGGTACTCTTAAACTGGTAGTGCATGATTTACCACGATATCCTGAAAACCTGCCGTTCCTGATTTACCACGGTACCCTTAAACTGGCAGTGTCTGATTTACCACGGTACTCTTAAACTGCACTAGTGCCTAACTTACCACGGTACCCTAAAACTAGCAGTGCCTGATATACCACGGTACCTTGAAACTGGCAGTGCTCAAGAATGTGGAAGATAGAGTAGTTTTCTTGACTTGAAAACTGTCTCATTCTTATAATTTCTTCATTGCTTCTTGTAAGCAAGATAAGCGCAAGTCACTTTGGCAGAGAAACCGCAAACGAAAATAACCAGTTTAAAGAAACAAAAAGCACATCATAACTCATACTTGAGACAAAGCTTTTAAAGGTTACACATTGTAAAACGGACATTTTGTACATCTTTGCATGTTGAGGGTCACTTTATATTTTGCATACAGTCCCTTTATCATAAGAGATGACAATGAAATTAGTTTTAGTTTTTGATGATAGTTTTCTCTGACCATAACTAGTTTTCATTGGTAAAAATGAGATCTTTCCTATCATCAAAAGATAATAAATATCTGAACAAACAACGACATGGGTGTATATTTTTTTAATTATCATACACTTCCCAACATCAAAATCCCCCNCCCCCAATTCTTCAAAAATCATTCAATAACCCTCAATATTAATGATATTTATTTTTTAAGAACTATATTGATTTCTTGTCAAAGAAAGCTAAAAAACTGAATTATTACCGTATTCCATGCTGATCAATATAATCATAACAATTTCCACCAATATGATTTCGTTTCTCAAGAATTAAAGACTTCAGACCTAAATAAAAATTAAATAGTTTTTTATAAAAGTTAGTAATTTAAATCGGTAGTTTTCAATTGAATTTTTAAAGGATTTATGAAAAATTTTATTTCAATTAAAAACAGTGGAAACAGTAATATTTTGATGTTTCTGAAATGTTTAGAATTGCATTTTTATGTTCAATATTTAAATTTAATACCATATTTAATAGCCTATTTCTTTTCAAAACTAAATTTTTTTGTTGAAAGGAGAAGGGATTTTTGATATTTAAGTGCACACCAATTAGCATTTAATTTTCTAAACTCTTATTTCTAGCAAATTTATAGTCCACCTAGTCTAGAAGAAGCTTGCTCTGCAATAACAGCCCCGGATAAACCAGCTCCAATTATTATTAGATCATATTCATCCTAGAGACAGTGATACACATAAAACTGTGGAATAGGAAGACGATTTTATGTATTTTGTTTTGTTAGAAAACAAATTTTTTTACTATAGTGAAACCCGTAATAACGAATACATCGGAAGAATTTATCAAATGTCGTCTTGACAATTTTTCAATGAGTTTTATACTATATTACGTAAATTTCAGTATTTGCGAAAATAAATAAATAGCCGTGAATATGCGGGAACAGTTTTAAAGAGTTCCATATAATCATTTAATTAAAAAACTAAATATCTACAACATTCCATTATCAGAAAGTGAAGAATAAGACATTTGATGAATTCTTTCGATGTATTCGTTATTAAGGGTTTCACTGTAGAAAATCAACTTATTCTGTGTAAACTGAGTCTGTGTACTTCGCAATCTTTGTGTCTCAAGTTCATTTGGAATAAAAAAAAGTTTGATCCAACAGTCTTCTTCATAATCCATAGTTTTATGGGTCTCACTGTATGTTGCAATATAATTATGCCGAAATAAATATTCCTAAGACATTAAGTTAGCCAAAATAATTCTTATACAGTTACAGGGCATCCATGAAATTATGGATGAATTACTATTTTGTTCTTTTTCGTAAAATAATAAGATATCGTTTGTAAACTTGCTCTTAACAAGTATTTATTCTGAACAAAGATGTATTCATGAGACATATTTTATGCAAATAAGTTTTTTAAGATTTGTCAATTGAATTATTTATTTTGATAAAACCTTACCTTGAGCCCATTCATTCCTCTAAATATTTCTGGGGATTTTGCATCTGTTCTGTCAGCCATAGAAAAGTAATTTCTGAAAAAATAAATCGTTTAAAGAAAATGCGTTTTTGCCGATGTTCTAATCCCTATATCTTTGAAACCTAACGTAAACGTGGAAGACCATAGATATTTAAAATTATTATTTACCTTGATTAAATCTAAGTTTGAAATATCAAATGTTTACACTATCAGGCTGCAGCAAAAATGGAGGGATTTAAAAATTTGAGTTTGTGGTAAAAACTCAATTCCTTTGTACATATATTTTAACCCCAATTCTATATCTTATCTTTCAATGTAAAATGAATGAAAAAAATAAATATCTTCCATATTTTTAATCTAATGGTATAAACCTGTGATCTATTTTAAACTTTAATCTTATGAGAATTCGCAGTTTAAAATATCAGAGGTCTACGATTTCTGTTTGGATCTGAAAATTAAAATGCAGTTAATTAAGATTAAAAAACACGACTGATCCAATCTCATTTTAGTTTTCGTGGATTATCAAAACACACTGAAGTGCTGTATGTAAATTTGGTTTGGTTTGTATCCAATAAACAGCTGAACTGATCAGGCCCAATTTTGTTTTGGTAACTTACTTTGGTATCTTACTTTGATTGGTAACTTACTCTGGTAACTTACTTTGGTAACTTACTTTGGTAACTTACTTTGGTAACTTACTTTGGTATCTTACTTACTTTGGTAACTTACTTTGGTAACTTACTTTGGTAACTTACTTTGGTAACTTACTTTGGTAACTTACTTTGGTAACTTACTTTGGTATCTTACTTTGGTAACTTATTTCGGGCCAGAAATAAGAAAAATAACTTTAATTTATATACAAATTGGTAAAGCAGACTTCCCTTTTCAAACAGCGCCAAAGAAGAAAAAGATTCTAAGGGGCGCGAAAAACTCTGTACGCCTAGTCCAGGCGAAGCACCCTGTACGCCTAGTCCAGGCGAAGCACCCTGTACGCCTAGTCCAGGCGAAGCACCCTGTACGCCTAGTCCAGGCGAAACACCCTGTACGCCAAGTTCATTTTTGATTTGGCAAAGTCATCTCTTGACTTTAAAACAATTAAGTTACACCAAGAATGATTTGTAAATCTTTAAATGTTTATCTGTCATGGTATAACTAAATCTAATTATATACGAATGCTGGATATTGTAAATGTAAATGGACTTTAACTCTTATAATATATAATATAATATAATATAATAGTAATCCGAAGGTTTCCAGTGTTTAAACTAAAATCGTTGTGATTTTCTCCCACTTTCTTTTTTAATAAACTATAAGCTAAAACCAAGTTTTTATTTCATAATGTATTATAATAAGAGCTTCTAAAATGTATATGTGTCTCAGGCGCGTTGTGGAGGGGGGGGGCCGGTACCCCTGTGCCCCCTAGACATGCCCCCCCTAGGCCTCCCTAGAGCCAGATGCAGGCTCTAATTTATTCAACTGTAAACTTACAGATATATTTAGATTTTTTACTTTTCTTATCAATCGACAATGTCACAATTTGTCCATTTTATGATTATTTCTCAAATTCTTTCTTGCTGTCTACCATGTTCATTGCAATTTCTATTGTTATAACCTAGATCTGAAAGACGTTTTATTTTTTCAATCTCTCGACTCTGATTCGACCCGACCAAAAATATATAAAAAACGATATTTCGGATCAAATGTCGTATTCTTTTCAAAGAATTGAAAAACATGAATAAGTTACTTTCTAACCCTTGCACATGCAACAATTATTTTGCATAATTTCGTTTGGTTTAAATGTACAATAAAACTTAAGGAATTGAGTTTTTCATATTTCAAACTAAAATTTAGGTCAAATAATCTAAGTTTAAAAACTCAAAATTTATCCAAAAAGTTTGCGAACATATAGGGATTCGAAAACTCGCGTTTCTGACAAAGACTGAATTCCCTTACCTATATATAAGATGAGCTGTGATGGATAAAACTGCTCCTAAAACTACTCCACTTAACCCGACCCCAGAACTACTAGGTGTAACAGAAGTGTTTTTTGTTTGACTCGCTGTGCTCGGGTCTCTCCTCTGGTCCTCCTTCTTTGTCATATTAGGATAAAAGTTAGAAAAAAACTGGATATCTATTTATCACAAGTGTTTTAGCAGAGAAGCAAAACAAATTTCATCTTATTCTGAAAAAAAAAATTATTTAAAAGAAAATATGAATAAATAGTAATAATAATGAAAATATTAGTTATGATAATAATTATGATAAAAGTAATGATAATGATTATAACAATAGAACAATTGCAATTAATAATAGTTTTAATAGTAAAAATCTTAATAATAAAAATACTATGGTTAATTAATTAACAATAAAGAGACTTTTGTAAGTTAATTAATTAGGTATTTAACCTAAGCTTGATATTTGCCAATACAGTGAGAACCTGAAAACTTTAGAATAGGAGGACTACAATCTTATATAAATTTTATACTGTTATAAACAAAATAATAAGCTTTAGATTAAACATTCTGTACGTACTGTACATTGCACAATTGTGTACTTCATGTTCACTCAACTATTTTAAATCATAAATTTTCTCACTGCATATAAAGCACACGTAATACTTCTGTTCCCTCGGCTTTACTGTACCTCAGCAACGACATTAAGGACAACAAGGAGGGAATTAAATTAGAAAAAAAACATCTTTCTAAAATTTTCCGTGAAATTATTTTATGTTTTTTATTCACACTTGTTTATATTTTTAATGGCAATATTTCACCCTGTTTGATTCCCTGGGCATGTATCTATCTATCTTCATCTTTCGATCTATCTATCTATCTATCTCTAAACCATTGGTTTCTACCTGTTAAGTCACCTGTGTCTCATCTATCTATCTATCGCTGTAAACATCTATCTATCTATCTATCTACCAACATGAGGTTCTATATATTCTTATACAGATTTCTTCTTAAAATTCTTGTAATATAATTTCATTTTACTAATGTTGATATATTTTTCTGTCCTAATCTTCTATATGCATAACCTAAGTTTTTAACAAAATATTTCTTATCAACGTTTTAAACTATCGACACATTTTGGAAAATCCGGTAAACTTAAATAAACAATAAGAAAATAAAAAAATAATGAAAACAAACAAACATCGTGCATATGCAATAAATATTAAAAGATTTGAAAAACTGAATAAACAAGATATCTGTATATTGATCCTCATGCATACATCTATTCATCTTTTTTATCTTTAACATTCTATACTTGAATTGAAAAGAAAAACACAATTTAACAAACACGACGTTTTCAATTGTTGACGATTTTTCAGCGGGAGAGAAAGCACGAAATAAAGATAAAGAAAAAGTTGTAAACGGTATAAGGTTGGTTTGAAGGGGGGGGGGGGGGANAACAGAGAGAAACAGAGAGAAACAGAGAGAAACAGAGAGAAACAGAGAGAAACAGAGAGAAACAGAGAGAAACAGAGAGAAACAGAGAGAAACAGAGAGAAACAGAGAGAAACAGAGAGAAACAGAGAGAAACAGAGAGAAACAGAGAGAAACAGAGAGAAACAGAGAGAAAAAGAGAGAAACAGAGATTTGCGGAGAGAGTTAGAGAGAGAGAGAATTCAACAAAATCTATTTATTCATCGGAGAGAAATGTAGTCGCTTAGTTTCGAAAGAGAAGTACACTGTACAACATGTAGAGGCAAATAAAACAAAATATCATAGACTCGTCTCTTAATTTTTGCAGCATTAATTTAGAGTATGATTAAAGAAATGCCTCCACTAAGGGACGGTATGCATAATGTTATGTCAAATTCTAAACGGTACCATGAACATTTTTCTCTGATCATCAATCATCATATATAGATTAGATATTCAGTTTTCATATGTAGTTTTTCCATAGAAGTGGCGTGCGCATTTCTTGCTTCAACAAAAAAAAGAAAAAATAACAGAATCTTACACTTATAATGCTAGAAAAGCGAAAATATCTTTTAAATTATTGATCAGACTAGAGGTTCAAGGGTACCCTTGTAAATCAGACATGTCACTCTTTTTTTTCAAATGGAGGGTTACTTGAAATTAAAATTATAACCGTCCTTTTAAAAGGTTTTTTGCTTCACCTTGGCAATTTGAAACAAATTCAACTCGTAAACCTTTAAGATTTGAGGAATTCGGAATTATAAATGTTAAAATCTCATCTTTCAGGGATTTTTCCAGAACTAAATATATAGAAGTTAGGGATGGGCAAAGTCTATGAAAACTATTTTCTAAACAATCGTTTTTCATTTTAGATTTCGTTTGGAAAACGATTTCTTATCAAAAATTCATAATCTTTAAATTTTCAAAAATGGTTTTGTGTTTTGAATTATGCCACCTTTAAAGGTAATTTTCGCGAAAAATGAAAAGGCCGGAAAAATATTCGATGGTGATCGTTACTAATTCAGAAAGTTGCAATATTCGACTCGGATGTTTTCATTTGTTTTATAAACGATGCACTTAAAACGACAATTTTTTTCCGCTAGGTGTCTCTATATCTAATATTTTTTGACGTAAGCCTATACATTTTTCGAAAAAACTTCCTTTAACGAATAGTTTTAATGGTTTGATCTGTCATAAAAATTCTAAAAGAAAAATTCAAAAAAAATAAATCATAATAATGTTTCACAAAAATTTCCAAAATAGAAAATCTATATTTGATAAATAAAGGTTTATTAGATACAGTGACCTAATGTAAAAAACTATTTTTACCTTGCAACAAAACATTTTTCAATTATTATTTCAATAGACTTAAATACCTTTCAGAAAAAAGGGAAATAACAATATTTTGAGTCTATATTTGTTCATTTCCTGGAATCTTTTTTTTGAGAAAACCTATTTACGTTTATGCTTATAATAATATGTTTTTAAAACAACCATTCTACTAGACTACACGTGAAAAAAATTGTTGTCCTCAACCCTATCCCGATTGGGTTAGGAAATTGCTGTCCCTAACCCTATCCTGATTGGGCTAGGGGAGTGTGAGACTTGTCCCTTGTCCAACATTTCAAGGCAAGCTTTTTAAAAATTTAAGATAAAAAAGTACATGTCTGAAAAAATTTGAAAAAATAGTTATTTTTACTTTTGACAAATATTGACATGTGCAACATGTTATTCATTACACCCTTTTTCAAAGGCTTTTCAAATATTATAAAGAAATTGAGCCTTTGCCACAAACTCAAATATTCAAACCCCTATATCTTTAGAACCCGATGTTGTAAACCTTTTATATTTCAGACTCCGATTATTTGATTTGACAGAATTCATAGTTGGAAATATCTAAGGACTACAAAATTTGGTTCCAAAGATATAGTGATTAGAAAATCAGAGTTTGTAACAAAGACTCAATTCCTTTTAGATCTGTAAATTAACTAATGAAAAAATTCATAATCTTTAAATTTTCAAAAATGGTTTTGTGTTTTGAATTATGCCACCTTTAAAGGTAATTTTCGCGAAAAATGAAAAGGCCGGAAAAATATTCGATGGTGATCGTTACTAATTCAGAAAGTTGCAATATTCGACTCGGATGTTTTCATTTGTTTTATAAACGATGCACTTAAAACGACAATTTTTTTCCGCTAGGTGTCTCTATATCTAATATTTTTTGACGTAAGCCTATACATTTTTCGAAAAAACTTCCTTTAACGAATAGTTTTAATGGTTTGATCTGTCATAAAAATTCTAAAAGAAAAATTCAAAAAAAATAAATCATAATAATGTTTCACAAAAATTTCCAAAATAGAAAATCTATATTTGATAAATAAAGGTTTATTAGATACAGTGACCTAATGTAAAAAACTATTTTTACCTTGCAACAAAACATTTTTCAATTATTATTTCAATAGACTTAAATACCTTTCAGAAAAAAGGGAAATAACAATATTTTGAGTCTATATTTGTTCATTTCCTGGAATCTTTTTTTTGAGAAAACCTATTTACGTTTATGCTTATAATAATATGTTTTTAAAACAACCATTCTACTAGACTACACGTGAAAAAAATTGTTGTCCTCAACCCTATCCCGATTGGGTTAGGAAATTGCTGTCCCTAACCCTATCCTGATTGGGCTAGGGGAGTGTGAGACTTGTCCCTTGTCCAACATTTCAAGGCAAGCTTTTTAAAAATTTAAGATAAAAAAGTACATGTCTGAAAAAATTTGAAAAAATAGTTATTTTTACTTTTGACAAATATTGACATGTGCAACATGTTATTCATTACACCCTTTTTCAAAGGCTTTTCAAATATTATAAAGAAATTGAGCCTTTGCCACAAACTCAAATATTCAAACCCCTATATCTTTAGAACCCGANTCCTATTTTTAAATACTGTTTTCCTATTTTTAAATACTGTTTTCCTATTTTTAGATACTGTTTTCCTATTTTTAAATACTGTTTTCCTATTTTTAAATACTGTTTTCCTATTTTTAAATACTGTTTTCATAATTTTAAATACTGTTCCTATTTTTAAATACTGTTTTCCTATTTTTAAATACTGTTTTCCTGTTTTTAAATACTGTTTTCCTATTTCTAAATACTATTTTTAAATACTGTTTTCCTATTTTTAAATACTGTTTTCCTGTTTTTAAATACTGTTTTCCTATTTTTAAAATGATTGTAAGTGTAATTTCAATTGAACTTTCCTCCGAAGAAAGCAATGCCCGATTTACAACGGTACCCTTGAAACCTTTAAAACTAATGCGGAAGATTATGCAATTTTTCTCAGCCTTAAAAAGTTTCCATTTCTGGTAATATTTCTTCATGGCTTTCCTGCAATTGAAATGTGTGCAAGTTTCACTTTTAAAATAACCACACTAAAACATTATAATCAGTTCTAAACATTATAAACATGGATATATAATTTATGCTTGATCAAACAAAGATTTAAATGATACCGTTGTGAATCGAGCATTGCCATGTGTTCACTTGAAATTACTCTTATAAACCCCTGTACGAGATTATCGGGTTTATTATATTTACTTAAAAACTCCCTTTCATATAAGATTAATCATAGTTTAGCAAGCTGTATATAATGACTTTAACTTTTATAATACAAAGAATGTCGGTAGTACATAATTTGGTTGATCTATAAGATAGTTACAAACATATTGATTGCAATAAAGAAAAAAAATCTAAAATTTTTATAATTTCGTCAGAAAAAACGTCTCCACATGTGTTTTACAACATACATTTATTATAATGCAGATATGTTTTTTTTCCACTTAGAACAGTTTAGATATTTTTTTATATATTTCAGAGAAGTAAAATTTAAAAATAAGGATTAGTTAATTAGCAAAATAGAAAAAAACGGCTTATTTTCCTAAAACAAAGTTAAGATGGTTGGTGGGAGCTGTATTACAGACTGTGATCTTATTAACAGGTAAAACTAAAGTTTAAAAAAATGGTAAAAGGAATCGAGTTTTTGCCACAAACTCTGGTTTTCTAATGCCTATATCTTTGCAACCGAATGTCGTAGACCTTAGATATTTCAAACTAAAACTCTTGTTGAATCAAAAAAAACCGAAGTTTGAAACATCATAGCTTTAAAGTTTACACTATCAGGGTGCAAATAAATAGGGATTAGAAAATCAGAGTTTGTGGCAAAGACTCAATTCCTTTGTATTTGGTTGGTGATACATTAATGGCTCTAAAAAGGGATGATTCATATGGTGAACTACCCCTCCCCCCATTGGTTCTAGGGTTAAATATTGTTTATAGTTCTGCCGTGAATATCTAAATATTTTACAAATTCTTCAAGTTTTTCTTTGATGGATTTAGAATATATTTTTGAGTGAACATTTTCAATTCTGATTAGCCGTTTTGTGAGTTTTGATCAGACAAACCAACACACAATCAAAAAAAGAGATTAAAAATCTATATAAAAAATACTTAGGACAACTTGTGCTTTACTGACATCAGAAAATCTACAAGAGACTGCTACATCAGCCACACAATCAAAATACTTTAAGATCTATCCAGGAAATTTATCCAAAATTTAACTTTAAAGGGACTGTAAGCGTAATTTCAAGTGACCATCCATGCAAAGATGGCAATACCCGATTCATAACGGTAATCTTAAAAATTTGAAAATAAATAATTTGAAAAATTTGTCGTTTTTCTTGGTTTAAAAGTGTTTGTTTCTGATTAGTCAATACTCATTAGTCATCAAGCTATTGTAATCATTTAAGTTGATTACACTTTTAAGTAAAACCAAGTCACTTAAAATTTCGTTAACAGTCACCTTAAATAATTTTTGATAAATGTTTGTAGAATACTGCTTTAATCCATCATCAGAGGAAGATGACCCATCCTTTACAGCTTATCAATCGGTAGGAATGACACGGTGAACTAGGTTCAATTTTAATCCGAACCAGACCGACCCCTTGTACCGGCCTTGTACCGACCCGGCCCTTGTACCAGCCTTAGTGAAGCACGACAAGTACTGCCCCGCCCCCCTGTTCTATGTCGACCCGGTTTCAACTTTGATGGCATGGACAGACTTTTTACAGAACCTGACCTAGCATAGGCCTACTAGCTTAGTTTAGTGTGATTTATTTCCAAGTTGTTTTGTTGCGGGAATTTCAAGAAAACTGATTCTTTTGTAAAATTTCAATAGAAAAATTGCTAACTTTCTTGGAAAAGGTCAAACATGTCTTCTTTTTTTCACTTGAATTTTGTCATGGACGTTTTTTACTTCCGCGTTTTGTTATTTGAGCGTTTTGTACCCACATCATCAGGATACAAAGGTGAAAGGATTAAAAAACTACAGTTTAATGAAAGTCTTCCTTTATTTTTGTAAAGATTGACCAAAATCTAAAAATGTTGTTTTTAGTTCCATTCGTGTGTTGTGATGCTGATGGTGGTATGTGGCCTTTTTGGAATTACGAGCAATCTGGGGTAAGTCAGTTAGGGGTGGGCACGCCAACACTTTTTTCTAAGACTTTTTTCAAGCCATTCCTTAACGGTTATTAAAATAAGAACGAACTAACTTAGCGGTTCGTCAACAATCTCAACTTTCTTAACGGCGCTAACGGAAAATATTTTAGAAATCGTTAATTGTGCAAGGCGTTAACGAGTTGTTAATGATTGTTCAATGTAAAAATGGCGAGACAAAAAATGCAAAATTAAAATTTAAAAAAACAACACAAAAACACTTAAAAGTGTCATGCACTATCAGATGCAGTTATCGATGTTTTTAATTCTGATCACAGACTATATGATACAGACTGCTAATAAGCTTTCTTAGGGCTGGGCTTAGTAGACCTAAAGTCGTACCGGCTTAAGCGCTCATTGTTGCATATAATACGTCTAATCATGGGTTACTTTTTTATAATTTTTAAAGAAATACTCCAACTTTTTACAATTATTACAATGATGAATTTTTTTTTTTTTGAAGGTTTTGTATTTTATATCCAAAGGATCCTTGAATATAAACGTCTTCTAATTGGTTGTGTACTCCAGTTGTTCACAATGAAACCTGTTGTAGAAAATATGGCATATTCTAGTCTTCGATAGATCTTATCTCTGATTCTGATATAATAAACTCTTATAGCAAAAATCTGCAAGTCACTCTTATTAAGAAACATTATTGAAAATACTTCAAATATTAAGTAGAGTAACATTGATAGATTATTCCATTTCCCGTTATTTTAAAACACTTTCGTTCGAGTCCATTAGCGCCTGAACCAATCAGGGTTCAGTCATGTTATGTTGTCTATTCTGAACCAATAGAAATAGTATGGCGGTAACATCTATGTTTCTATCTAGCTCATTATCCAATTAGAGATATGAATCCTTCAATCGGCGCTGTAAATTTTGGAAACTGATAGTTTTTCATTTTTTAATATTTTAGTCTTTCTGCTTCTTTGAGGGGCAACTTTAAATTTCAACAGCTGATCAAGATCATTCCCTTTGCTGACAGGTATATATGGTTGAATATCAAGATAATTCCCTTTGCTGACAGGTATATATATAGTTAATTCAATATCAAGATCATTCACTTTACTGACTGGTATATATAGTTCAATATAAAGATCATTTCCTTTGCTGACAGGTATATATAGTTGAATATCAAGATCATTTCCTTTGCTGACAGGCATATATAGTTCAATATCATGATAATTCCCTTTACTGACAGGTTCGATATCAAGATCATTCCCTTTACTGACAGGCATATATAGTTCAATATCATGATAATTCCCTTTACTGTCAGGTTCAATATCAAGATCATTCCCTTTGCTGACAGGCATATATAGTTCAATATCATGATAATTCCCTTTACTGTCAGGTTCAATATCAAGATCATTCCCTTTACTGTCAGGCATATATAGTTCAATATCAAGATCATTCCCTTTACTGACAGGCATATATATAGTTGAATATCATGATCATTCCCTTTGCTGACAGGTATATGTAAAAAATACTTCATTTATGTCAGCAAGAGCAACGATCATGAAATTGAACTATATATACCTGTCAGACTCAGCTCTCGCTGACACAAATGAAGTATTGCCATCAAAATCATAATGAAAAAATTAAAAGAGAGAAACAAAAAAAGTTTAATCCAAACATTATTGTTGACATCATTAATAATGAGCACTTATCATCATTATAACCACAATCAGAAAAGCATAAATGGTCCATTTCTAGTGGCTGTAAGTTTGATTTAAAGTTGCAAAGATGGCAATGCAGGCTGAGTCACAACGGTACCCTTTAAACCTTATTATGATCTTGTATAAAGTTGATCTTAATGTTTTTGTTTTTGACATGCGCATCTCTTGCTTAAAAGAAAGACTAGAGAATTAAAATTTTTTTCGAAAACGACAGTATTTTCCATATTTTTGAACTGATAAATGTTTTACTGGTACCAGTATATAAGATAAAAGGCCCTAAAAAATTATGTTTACAGGGTCAAATTGTGATCGAAAGTCACAGTTTTCTGAATGGTTGACAGAATGGTTAAATCCCCGTGTGGTACTATTGTAAATCAGACATTGCCACCTTTGCGTAGAAGGACACTTTAACATACACTTTCAGCCCCTTTAATAACTTTCATCAATGTCAATATTATGATCAAAAATCTTATCAATTTAATTAACTGTAGGAATGATTAAGAATTTATAGAAATATCCAAGAATTTTGTTTCAGTTTGTTCGTTCTCTGCTCAATAATAGATTCCTTACAGAGTACATTCCATACTACAATACCTCAATCCATTCTCAGGATTTACCCCATCGTTCTCTATCCTTTATACAGGTACATTTCATACTATACAATACCTCAATCCATTCTCAGGATTTACCCCTTCGTTCGAAAATTAATATATATACAATTTTGTATAAAAGTAGTGGGTTTAAAAAGATCAAATTCAGCAAATATGCAACCAATCTGAAAACGATGATATCCCAGAGAAAGCTAATTGTAAGTTAGGTTTACTCCAATTCTAATTTTATATTTTTTATTTATATTTTTATAGATTTAATTCATAATATTATTTATACGTCTTTATTGCTTGACCAGAAATTCCACCAATGACAGTGCAGTAAAGTGGTCACGTGATACAGGCGGAGACACGTGACCAGTATACTGCTCTGCCATTGGTGATAGTTCTGCTCACGTGATTTAAGTTTAAGATTTTCTAAATTTTACATATATGAATTTTCGTATAATTTTAACACAGTTTTATATCAGTTTCTCGAGACAGGAACATCAGATATAACTT